TTCTACCCTACCATTAGTTAGTAAGAAGCCCTATCGTTGGATGTGTGAGGGACAGGCGCAGGCCATCGTACAGTCATAAAGGCAACTTGTAGAACACTTTAGTAATTTTCGTAAGAGACTAAGATCGTTTACCAAAGGCAACATCGAAGGGTCATCGATGGACTATGATCTTTTAACCGAGGGTCTTTGCTAAAGCGTCCCACGTTCGAGGGACGTGACAGTGTTTTCTGAAAGCAACAAGTGAGGGTCACCCTAGAGGTGCGTATGTGAATAGTATTTCAATTCAATTCATTTATCTTGCATATTAGGGTTAGCTACCGTTCGATTTTAAATCTTGCCATACACGCCTATTAACATACAACTAGCAGTTATAAGGAAAGCGGTAAAGACAAAAAATAAATTTCCTACGCTATTCCAAAGTCTCGGGGTAGGGGGTACAAATCATTAAAAAAAGGGGGAAATAGAAACCCTATTTAACTATTACAAACCGTAAGCAGTTACAATAATCGAAAAATGCGAAAATAGTAAACTACGTGAAAATAAAAGGAAAAGGAAATTGTTTTCTGATTTTATCAAGTAAGGAAATTAAATCAAATAAAAGCTATGGACGAAGATTCAAAAATTAAAATTCTAAATACTGTTTTTGGTATTTTTCGAATGTGAGAAAATTTGAAAATAAAATAAAAACCTAGTCTATTATTTTTTATGTTTTTATCAAAGAAAGTAAAATTAAAAGAAGAACAAATAATAATAATAATAATAATAATAATAACAATAAAAAAGAAATAAAAGAAACAGAGGGAGGGTGCAAGATACAGTTGGGTATGTGATGAGCAGAAACGAAATGGGCTGATTTTGAAGAAATTCGTTGGGCCAGGAAATTGGGGTGAGACCCAAAGCTAAGTTTTAAAAAAAACATAAAATAGAAGTAAGGGTGGTGCGAGTTAGAAAACTGGATTGACTTTTAATTAGAAATTCGCTAGGCTTGGAAGAGATATGCAAGCAGGCCCAATGTTTTATTACTGCAACATCAACATAACAAACAAAACAAAAAATTGTGAACAAAAGCGAATCGGGCTTAACGAACAAACGAAAAGCGGGTAAAGGCCCACTGGAGATTGGAAAAGAAAACCTAGTGAAAATACTAAGCAGTCACTTTCCAAAACTTGTCCTCACGACATTTTCCAGGTTATTTTCTCAATATTCCAACGAAAATGATAACAAGAGAAAAACGAAGTCTTCTCCACCATTCTTCACCCTCAAACTCGCCTTTTTCCTCGATCTATGAACAACAAAAACCCAAGCTAACACCTCGCTTTCAGTTTTCTCTCCCTAAACCTCTATTTCACGTCCTCATACTTGTAACAACAATAACCACTCTTTCTCTTTCTAGTATCTCTCACTCTCACCCAGGTAATAAATCGAATCATATCCAACACGAACTCTCATAGATTTTCGGTTTTGAATAAGAACCCTAAAATAATTCTAGCTGAAAACATGGCTACTTGAATTAGAGCAAAGCTTTCTGAATCCTAATCCCCAAACTCTTCCCTCATAATCATTAATAGAGTCTAAAGATATTCGGAGGTTGAAGGAGTTTCCTCATTCTTCTCCCTTCAAGCATTCCCTTTTCTAAAAGAATCGGAAGGAATAAAATTTTGAAACACCAAAATCGGGTCTCCTCACCAAGCGAGTGATAATCAATGTTTAATAATTTTGCATCATTGCATCAGGATCATCCCTCAAATATTCAATATGGTAAGAAAGACATATAACACATATTCATCGATTTGGTTTTAATATCTATCTTAGTGTATGTTTTTGTGAGACTTAACCGTGTAAGTGATGGTACAGGGCAGGAAGAGCAAACAAAAATCATAGTAATACAACTTCAAATACCATGAGGAATAAATATGCAAAAGTGAAAAACAGAGGCAGAGTGACTTATCTCAAGGTTGACTCAGATGAAATAGAAAACCAGAGGTAATAAGCTGTTCCTTGATCCCTTCTTCTTTTTCGAAATGATTTTGAGCAAAATGGTTATGATATTGAATAGAAGTCTGTGTCGTGAATCAGATTCTACAGGTTACTGAATTTGGAGTTTGGAGGAAGGTTGATGTTGGTGCAGGTATGTAATAAAGTGGAAGTGAAATTTTTGCAGGGAGTGAGGATGGATTAAGGTTTATGGAGGGATGCAATTGATATGTCAGGTTCTGGGAAGTATGGTTTCTACAGTTAGTGAGGGATTTCTGTCTATCTTATTTTTTTTGCGATAGTGTAGAAATATGGTTTATATAGGTGAGAATGAGTGGGTTTTGGGGGGAAATTTGGTGAATTTGAACATACTTGGTGTACTGTCTTAATGCTTTTCTAATCCAGGTTATATTTGGTATATTTTTGTGTAATGCTTTGTTGTTTTGCAGTAGGTTTTGGACAATATGGCAAGCTGTTTTTGGAACTGTTTGGGCGGGGGCAGCAGCAGGTCTTGGGCTGGTTTTTGGTCTATTTTATGCAGATTTTGTGGACAGGTCTTGACAGGTTTTGGCATGTTCTGCAGGTTGGACAAAAGCTTGGTTGTGTTGGGACAACAAGGTTGTTTACACAGTTTCACTGTGTTTGGACAGGTTTAGAGAAACTGTGTGCATTGCTAGAGTTGGCTTATGGATGCAACTTGAAGATATGAAGCATGGTTGGAAGAAGCTTTTTTGGAGAAAAATTGGTGAAAGTGTGGAATTTGAAGATTAGGCTTTAGGACTTGTTTCATATATAAATTTGTATAATTTTCTTGTAATATCTTGAAGTGATGAATGATTCTTGTAAATTACTTAACATTTGGATGAATACTTGATAGAACTTGATGAATGAATAAATCTTTCCATGAATGTATCTTTGATAAGTTTGAAAGACTTCTCATGAAATTTTGATTACTTTAGTATGAATATGTTGAATGATCTTGAAATTGGAAATCTTAAACCATGATGAGTGATATAATCCTTGAATGAATTTTCTCCTGAAGCATGGATAAAACTTGAATGATCTTGTAATGAACAATGAACTTTGATACTTGTATCTTGACAAATGTGTTCCTTTGCTCATTTGTACCTTGTATACCAAGGAATGACATGAATGAATCTTCTTAGCCTTGAATTAAACATTGATAAAATCATGACCTTAAGACCTTGAATCAAAACTTGTTCTTTACAAAATTCATTTGATAAACCTTCACGCTATATTTCAATCTCAACTCCCCAATAATCCTCTTGATGCACAACCTTCTTCTCAAAGAAATCCTAACCCAATTCCTCAATCCAAAAGTGACTTTCACAAGCAACGAACCTTTAAAAGGAATGTTGATGCCTTAAACATAATTTCATCCTTTGTACCACAATTCTTATTTTGTAATTCAATCCATAAGCTCTTTGTATTGACAAAATCTTTTTCAAATGATGACCTTAACACAAAGCAATGCCTTTGCAGATGAAACTTTAAGTATAGAAAGACATCCTTGAGATAAAACTATAATCAATCTTCCATTGATGAACATCAAGAAAGTCACATACTAAATATGAGAAACCCTAACCAATTTCATTGGGTGCACAATTACGAAGAAGGGACTTTAGATGTGGAAGAAAATCAAAACCCTAGTGTGGACCCATTGCTTAGGAGGAGAATTTGCTTGATCAATTCTTGAGCCATCTTAAGCATTTGAGAACCCTAGGAGGATGTCTTAGAGAAACTAGGAGGGCAAATTTGGGGTACAACACAACCCAATAGAAAACTTCCAGCCTAACCAAACCAAATTGAAACCTCAAAAAACCGCATTTGGTTCGGATGTGTTTGAGTCATATTTTAACAAAATTGCACGATTCAGTTTGGTTTGCGGTTTGTATTTTGCAAACCGAACCAAACTGAATCAAACTGCGTTATGTTACAACCTAAATTTTACTTAACTCACGTGCAACCCAAATCTAAACCAATTATACCTTAGCCTTATGATTACGAGTAATTTTCTCATCCTTACACTTATGGTTTCAATTCCGGTCTTCTCAAATCTCTCGTAGCATTATCGCGTCTTCTTCGCCACATAAATATTTCCTATTCTTCTCTAATCTCTACTCTCTTATATTCTTTCTTTTTTACCTTCTCATTTTTATGCAAATGTTTCCTCTTTTAATTCCATTTTTATCACAAATCTTCTTCTCTAATCTTTCTTCTCTTATGTTCTTTCTTTTTCATATTCTCTAATATCTCATCTCTTCTTCTTTTTTTGTTTCATTATTATATTTTTGATATTATTTTATGATATTATTTTATGTTTATTATTCTACTTTTGTCTAATATAATTTTTACATATTAAATAAGAAGTTGTTGTTTAAATATTATGAGTTTTGATGTTATTTGGTAGTGTGTGAATGACTAAATACAAAATGTTCTCATCTATATGTGTATGTATGGCTCGATAAAAAAATTGTAAGAAACCTAACCAGAAAAATAACATTGGTTTAGTTTGGTTTGTTTCGGTTTTTTTCTAAAACCAAACTGAACCATACCGAACCTCACGTTTTTCTCTTGCGGTTTGGATGAGTTTTATCGTCAAAACCTCCCAAACTACATCACGGACACCCCTAAATCTAGTTGGTTGGCTTTGACAGAAAGGTCGGGACAAATTCCTTGTGTCTGCTCCAACGTGTGATCCCGAACCCGATACATGAATTTAATAGCCCGTTGGGGAGACTCCTAATACTTCTTTAGTATAATAACTAGGTCTTCCTCGAGGCTTTTTTGAACTTTGGCCCGATCATATTCCTTATGTTAAAGAGCTTTTTGATCCTCTCTAAAGTCACAACACACCTTTGCCGCATATTTAGAAGCCTTATTCCAACATGGATCTAGCTTCATAAATCTGACGCAAAATCGTTTTACTTCACCTTCTCCTACAAAGAGTCGAAAAGCTCAACACTTTTCTGCAACTCAATTAATTCTCACTCAGCTTCGAAATTCTACAGCTCAAGAGTCTCACACTTCCCCTTCAGTTCATCCTTTTTTATGGAAAGGTCACCACAACCTAATGCATCATATTCATTGTCATCCACCATCGAAACTAAGAATTCGGCCCTAAACAGGGTACGCGAAGCATCCGCAAAAAGACTTTGCCTGTCAGCCATAGAAAGGTTCCGAACAAAAGTTATGTCCTCAATGACATCAAATTTCTCTGGGGTGCTATGTACCATAGGGGGGAGAACGACAGGGAGCCAGAAGGAATGAGTAAGAGCCTTCAACTCAATATCCTCTGCCAAATGAGCCAGTTTAGAGGAAACCCCCTCAACAGGAGTAGACGGACAATCACTCTGATTCCTCTTGATATGAGAAACAAATGGTGTAGGCTCATAGACAGACATGTCGGTCATTACAGTAGTCAATTGTTCCACCTCAAGAGTTATATTCAGAACGACAATCACATATATTTTCTAGGCAGTAACCGTAGCAGGCATCTGAACCATCATAGCAAGAGTAGTTGTAGTAGCATAAGTCCCCACCAATTATCTTGATGAGTCGGTCATAAGACCCTGTTCCTTGGAGAGCACGAGAAGGTTTTGAAACTCATGTATGTTATCTACAAGATCCAAGTTACACTTGTCAAAAAAATGTCGCGGATTCCCATCTTCACCAAGATTTCTTGCCTCTCTACGTGATTGGGTGCACTGATAATCGTAGTTTTAATCTTCTTCTTCTTTCACTAAGAAGAAGTCACTTCACTATGACGAAACCATTCTTCATAGTCAAGCCTTTCATACCAAACACATAGACCCTCCTTCATTTATACCTCCTCAGAGGATAGAGGACTTAACTTGTTGTAGTAAGAAGGAAGTGGCTGATGGAAGTTAACTCAATGCCAATGTTTGACAAAACCACTTTTGCAAGAGTGAGTGAACACAACTTGGGCTGAAGCCGAGCACAAAAAAAGCTTTAAGATTAATAGGTTTCACCAAAATGAAACGTTTTAGAAAACTACCTTAATCATTGGTAAAAAAGTCAAACCACGGGACATTAGGATGAAAGGAGGTCAATCTCTGGTCCTAAGAGTAATCTCAAGAGGTGTGGGATGCATACAAAAAGATAAAAAGATCTCAAGAGAAGGTTTATAATATTTATACTCATCAAATGGTTGGAACACCTTCATGTAAGCCTAAGCTCCAGGATGAAGTTGTGAGGGGGAAACTCTCAAGCGATTCATCATAGCCACCTTGAAGTTAGAAAAGGGAAAACGTACCCCTAACCTGGTAAAAAGGAATTCATACATAGTGTTGTACCCCAAAATTTTCCCTCTCTTTTATCAAGACATTTCTCACAAAAGATCTCGAATGCTCAAGGATTCTCAAAGAGTTGATCAGACAAGCTCACCTCTTAAGCATTGAGACCACAAATTAGGGTTTTGGTTTTCACAAGGAAAATTGGACTTCTAATGCCCCAAATGACTTTCATGGTTCATAATAGGTCTCTAAGATTACTCATACTAAGTTTCAAGTCTTTCACCACAAATTAGCCCAGTCAATTGCTCAGATGACTGAAAATCAGCTCTATTGGGTAAAAAGTCAATTATGGTCAACATACAGTCAAACTTCGAGATTTTTGGCCAACGTCCACATTTTGAAGTCACATTCATCAATTGATCAAGAGTTGATCACAATTCCTCAAGAAAATCATTCAAATCATCAAAGGGGCAAAATTGTCAAAATTAGGGTTTTGACTGAGAATGACTAATCATTGACTTTTGACCTAGTACATGACCTAATGACTTGGAGCATGATCTCAAGGAATAAAACACAAAATATTTACCTAATTTCATGGCTCAAATCATTTCTCAATATCAATGGATTGATAGTTGAATTTTGGATCAACTGATGAAAATTCAGCTAATACAGAAAAAGTCAAAATTTGACTTTTTGGTCAACATTGAATTTCAAAGATCAAGATTCATCAAGACATTAAAAAATATCAAACTTGATCATCAAGAATCAAGAAATTCAACAAAAATTCAATATTTTCAATACTTAGAAAAATTCTAAGTGTTCTTAACCTTGATAATTTCACTACCTCGTGACAATTTTTCACCAAGATGCAAGATAATTCAAGGAAAACTTTCAACATGAAAGTTGTAGATCTTTATGAATTATACAACTTTGTACCTTAGGGTTGATATCCAAAAAATTCTTAGATTTGAAGATATAGGCTCATAAAGTCATCACATTTTTACTAAAACACTTAGTGAAATTTTCATCAAGTTAGGCAGATTTTTTGTCCCAACTTCTTGGCATTTTTTCACCAAGTTCCAAGTTGATTTAGCCAAAATGGTCAACGTGAAGGTTGTATAAAATGTTTCAAGCTTTCCAAAATGTCAAAGAACTTGAAGAGATCATGCTTGAGCTAGAAGTTTCGAAGAGAAGAAGTTGAGCATCCATTCTTGAATTACAAGGAATTTTCATGAAGAACACTTGAACAAATCTCAAGCCATGCTGCATAAATCTTGCTTTGCAGGCTTCTAACTTGCATATATTTCCATAATCAGATGTTTACACAATTTATTGAGCCATTATCTAAGCATTTGATTCATTGTCCAAGTGGTCATTCCATTTAGGGAAGAAAGTCAAGACTTTCATTTTGTAAACGTGGATTTAATCACAAAGTCCACTCTCCTTGAGCCTTGAAATTGTTTCTTCTGAGTATACACAATTTAAAAGATAAAAAGCAACCATCTACAACTTGTTAACCACCCTACAACCCTTGTACTTCACATTGAAACCATGAATTTCAAGTTTACTTCAAAATCAAGTCACCTAGCCATAACATGTGATTCTTTATTTATGATTGCTAGAGCCTTCAAAACCTCCCCTCTATAAATAGAGGAGTCATTTGCAAGCTAACACATGAACTGACAAGCCCTCTAACCCTCTCAAACTCCCTCAAACCAGAATTTGCACAAAAATCTCCATAACTTGTTATTTCTGACTTTGAACACCAATCTCACAATACACTCACGTGTTTTCACTTTTAATCAATCACAAAGCTTCCATACCTCATATACAACTCACCCTCATCCATGTTTTAGCACTGCAACTTCATCTTCATCATCCTCCATTTCCAAATATTCAAACCTGCAACTTGATTTCTCCAGCACGATTCAGGCACTTTCAGCACAAAGTAAGAGTTGCATTAGCTTCCTAGGAGTTCAGTGAAGCTATCCAGATCATCATAACACCTCCATAAGTGCTCAAACTCCATACAAGATTTCCAGTTTTGAGGTAAGTTTTCTCAACTTTGAACTCTCTCTACAAGCATCTTTAGTGACTACTTTGTGAATGAAAAATGTAGACATCATTGCCCTGAAGCTAACCATGCCTTTGGTTTTCATTTATGTTGTCTGAGTGATGTGAATTTTAAAGTTTAACTTTCTGAAAAAAATTAGGTTTTATTTGGTATCAAACAAAATTCGTGTTCATCTTTGATTTATAGCTTTAGTTATTTACATAGTTGAATTCGTGGTGAAATTTAAAGCAAGTTTCATGTTTATATTTTCTGATTTGGTTGAGAAATGAGGAAGTTCCAAAAATAAAAAATGGTGTCTTTGTTCTGGCGCGCGCAAGGTTGAAGATGAAGGCATTTTCAAATTCAGAAACAAGTTTATTTTAAGTTTATTCAAAGTTGTTTTATACACGGATGAAACAACCACCCCAGTGGAAGAGGAAGCGCGCGTAAGGCATTAGAGTATAGGGACCTGGGTTCCAGCCCTAGTGGTATCCTTTTGTGTTTTTCACATTTTTCTTATTTCAGATTTCATACATACAAGCTATACGCGCCTACCATAGACTTCATTCCATCACCATTAGATGTGCAAGCAGCAAATATCAAATGTCCCACATGTGTAGCCCATGATGCACCTCAAGAAATTAGCAACACTGAATCAAATAAAGCGCTGGGCCTCCCAGAACTTGGGCCTCATTACTTTTTATTCTTGCTTTCATACACTCTCCTAATTGCTCATAACAACACATACCCATTCACTTTTTATTTTATTTTCTGATTCCAACAAAAAAAAACCTATTTGGGCTTGTTTTCTATCTTTAAACCCCCCTCCCCCTTTTACTTTCTGACACCTCAAGTCCAATTTTGTATACTCTTTATCTTTCTTTATTTTTATTTATTCATTTATTCTTATTTAACCAAAAATACCAAAAAATATTTTCTTAAGTAATTAAATTAAAAGTATTTTAATTTAAACATTTTCGTTTCATTTTTTCCAAATTAAATTTTATTACTCTCTTTTACATTATAAAAGTATTTTCTTTTCAAATTAACATTAACATTCAATTTATTTTCTAAAAACAACTTCTTTTGTAATTAAATTAATTAGTTTAATTAGGTTAAAATATTTAACCTTTCCATCAAAAAACCCTAAAAATAATTTCTTTTTCTTCTTCATCTTTACATTTTATGCATTATTATTGTAATTCATATTAAATGGTTTGTAATAAATAATTAGGCTTTATTGCTTTCTTCCCCCTATTCACAAAATTGTACCCCCCCTCCCCCCCATTTCCAAAGCGTTGTAATAACATAGGAGATTTAAATTCCGCAATTTATCATTTTCTTTATTATTGATAGTAATTAGGGTTTGTATGACAAGACTTAAAATCAACCATAGAAAAAACCCCAATTCAATACAAAATACATGAAAACAAAACACTTTGCACACTTTCACCTCTAGGGTAAACCTCACTTGTTGCCTCAGATTTAAACAATCATGTCCCTCGAACATGGGATATTTTAGCAAAGACCCTCGATTAAAAGATCATAGTCCCTCGATGATCCTTCAATGTTGCCTTCAATAAACGATCTTAGTCCCTTACGACAATTGCTAAAACATCTTACAAATTGCCTTCTGTGACTGTACGATGACCCACGTCTGTCCCTCACATCCTATGCTATGGTTTCCTAGTAACTAATGATAGACAAGCACTATATAAAGGAGAAGGAAAAGAACAAAGACTTTTTGAGTAGGTAGATTGCTCATAATTTCTTGGTCACAAACAAAACCATTTCCACACTTCAAACTTTCAAAACACTCTTCAAAAGCAAACATTTTGTATACATTCTCAACGATACAAGAATCATTACAAAATTGCCTTACATTAGCATTTTCAAAACATCTTTCCAAACACTCCTTTTCAACAAATATTTTCAAAACCAACACATTGTATACATTCTCAATGATACGAGAATCATTGCAAAGTTTTCCAAACTTAGTCGTTTTTCAAAATATTTTCAAATTTACACAAAACACAAAGCATTTCAAAGTGACCTAGAAGTTAAGAGCCCGTAGATAACTACAGATGAAAAGGGTGCTAATACC